CCTGTTTACAGCCTCCCAAGAGCTGGGATTACAGGAGCAGGCCACCACGCCCAGTCTCAATTGCCCTCTCAGCACACCCGGAAGGTGGGGCCCAGCACAGCAGGCAGGGGAATTGAGCCCATGGCCCCTGTGCCTGCTTGCAGGCACTTTAATCCACTGAGCTATTTGGCTGGCCCTTGTATTTTTATTACACTGGTGATAAGAGCAGATTTTGAAAGGAGGAGGAGCAGCAAAAAGAAGGGGATAAGGAGCAAAGCCAAAGTAGAGACAGTAGTAGTTTTCTAAAAGTACAATTTTGCAGTTAAAATTAAACACATATAACAGCGTGTGCTCGTGTGTGTGTGTGTGTGTGTGTGTGTGTGTGTGTGTGTGTGTGTTTAAACTACATTACTGCTTATAGTAATTCAGGACATACTTTTAAAAAGAGACAAGATCTCACTACATTGCTCAGGCAGGAACTGATCTCGCAGGCTAAAGATGTTTCTGCCTCTGCCTTTCAAATACTTGGAACTAGCAATGTACGCCACCACACTGGCTAAGAAATACTTCATCATTCTCATTTTCATAACTCAGAGGATGGTCTGTTGCCATACCTAGGTAAAACAGGATTGATATACTCAGAAAAGGCCAAAATATTAAATGAATCTATTTTATTGTTTCATGTCATTGCTAAAAATAAATTAGTCTTTTTTATGTATAGAAACCTGATATACAACATCGTAATTTATTTGTGGGAAATTTTAAAGACAATGAGAGGGAAGAAAACATTTTACCTTGGAATACATAAACATCTAAATTCATAAAATGATTCAAGCAAGGGGTAAATTTTGGGCAACTCTTTAGAAACATGCATAAAGGGTCTTTATCATATATATATATATATATATATATATATATATATATATATATATATCTTTTGTTCATCAGCTCCCCTCATATGATTTGTCAAAGGAAGCAAAATGAAACAGGGTAACACTTCCTAAAGGTGTTCATTACAATGTTATCACAACAATATACAATAGGAAATCAACTTTATGCTAAGAATAAGTAAGTGATCTAATAAATTCCTGTTGGACAATCATGTCAATAAGTTTTCAGTGAGATAAAATTGCTTGTGATGATTTTTAGGTTGTCTTATTTACTTTATCATTTCTGAGACAAAATATCCAATCACCACAAAGTACACAAAGAAAAGTTTATTTTAGCTGACAAGCCTGTATGGGTTTCATTCTATAGTCAGGTGGCTCCAAGGTAGGGTGGCATGGGCATGGCACAGAGGCACAACAGAGGAAAAACAGTTCATGGTAAATTAAGCAGAAGGTAGTGCTACTTCCTTCTGCTTTTGCATTTGATTCTAGCCAGGCTACAAACCTATTGATTGGTACCACTCACACCCAGGTTTAGCCTTTCCTCTTCAATAGACCCATCATCTTCACCCAAATTATTCTAAACCAGTCAGTGGGCTGATCCAGTATCACTCACCCATGATCCTATCATTTCTAAAATACTTAGCTATGAGTGCAAGAGGCTTTAGGGGGAGCATCAAGATAAAGCCATGACATGTTCTTTAGAAGCAAGTTACATATACCCAATTATGCCTCAGAAATAAAACAGAAAAAATATAACCCTAGAAATAAATAGACCAAAATTAATAGCCTTTATTTCCTGCTTATAAGACGTAAATATATGTGTGCATTTTGTTGTCTGCTTCTAATAATTACCTATATTTTCCAAATTTACTACATCGAGCACTGTCTACTTTCATAAGCAAAAAGGAGAAAGATAGATTCTAAGAAATATAAAGAATATAAAGGAAAAAGCAGTTTAAATAGTCTATGCATACCAACTTACTCTTATTGGCTAAAATTTTGTCATAAGTATTTAAATAGAAATATTTACTTTCATGCCACACCAATATTCTGGTTGCATCAACAATAAATTTCCACATAGGAATTTTTAATATCAGCTTTTCAGAGAGAAAATTACTTCTTTGTAAATGTATCAGAATGTTTAGTTTTCATCAACACAAATATACTTTTTAACAACTTTTTAAAGGGTTAATGTATCAGTCTTGGGATACAGTACTAGATACTCTAAGCTTTGATCACTTCCTAGAAGTATGAAGGAAAATAATGCCAAAGCTAAAACCTGTGCTTCAATTTTTAACATTCATTTAACGGACTCAGTATTCAATAACTAATATTTTTTGTCTGCTAGTATTAAGCCGTAATTTTTTTTACTAGATTACATTTATGCAGATCCTATTTTAACGGAAATTGAGAAGAAAGAAGATAATAGGAAGAGACATTATTTAGACAGACCTCACAAGTCAAACTAATAGTAAAACCATTCTCTTCCATGTACACAACCATGAAAACAAATATCCTGTGAGCCAGAGACACATACTGTATCTTTCCAGCAGATCTTTATACCTTTTTGAGACAGATTTCCATGACTATATAACATGATTACAGTTGATGAGGCAGTGACCCATAGAAAAAGGCTGATAAAACATCAAGCTCCAGGACACCAGATAAACATATTTGTGATTTCCAATTGTAACAAGGGTAAGATAGCACTGGATATGTAGACAGACATCAGAGACACAAAAGAAAAACACATTAGTTCTAAAATTTAAAAAAAAAATCCAAAAACATGTCCAACTCTCTTATTAGAATAACTCCTTTTACAGCTTGCTACTTCATTTAACTGACAGATAAGATTTCCAAAGACATTGTTTAGGATTAACATAAAACGTGCATATTGTAGCCCTGTGGCTGTGACATTATAAACAATAAAAGATCACCTATGTAAGCAAACCAGAAGAGCAATTAAGAAAGTTTGGAAAACATGAGAAAATTATGAAAAGACTATATGTCATATAGTATAACTGAAGGAACTCATTTCCTCAACTCTCCAAGCAACTCATCTTTATTGCATTCCTTACAAGTATAAGCTATATAAAGGAGCTGGGGAGCTAGCTCAGTAGAATAAGCATTTGTCTACCAAGCACAAGGGTCTGAGTTCAATTCATGGTTCAGCCAAAATAATACAATTAAATAAATAAATAAGCTATAAAAAGACAACCTTTATAGAGTCTATAGAAAGTGAAAAGTGAGACCAAAAATTAATACTTAATATAACCTTAAGTAATCTCAGAACTAGGTCTAAGTTTCTATTTGAAAAGGACATAATAAGGATATATGATTCTGTTATTTGAAGAGTAACCAGCCCCTTTTCTAGGCATTTGTGTGTTCCTGGATGCAACAGTCAAGCTAAAGAATATATATACACAATGCAAATAGAAGAAAATTAATCTTTTTTATGAATTTAGAGATCCTGCCAAATTAAACTGCTTTCAAAAAAAGTTTCTGTTCTGTCACATTATTTAATTGTACTTCATAATTATTACTATTTTAAAAGTATGTGTATGTGACAACTATAAAGTTACTGATATGACACAGAAATACTGACAGAAAAATGAAAAAGCATACGTTTACCTCATGATAGAACAAGATCATTATAGGGCCCACATTTACATGTAGTCCAATACAGGTGGCTAAGGGCTCCTACTGTATTACACTCTCTAGATTCAGTAACATAGATATCAAAAAATATATTTTGAGGATGACTTATTTGTTTTGTGGGATGAGAAGTGTGATCCTAGGTACAGGCAAATCCATACAAGTAAACTTTGGCTTCTAATAAGGTCAGGAGAGAGAGAGAATATTTTTATGTTTGAGAAAAACTGACAAAGGTACATTTGTCATGAAAGGTAAGTAAAACCAAGAAACAAAAGTAGGAGCTAAAGTTATCTCTTTATGTAGATTTTAACTTTTTTTTCTCTCCCAGTACTAAAATTGTGATGCAAGTCTTACTTAGTGAACAATTCCAAGAGATCTCTCCTGTATTGGATTATTACAGTTAGCCTCCAAGCTCCAGTCTTGATTATCACACACCTCCAATCTTGTGTCAGTTGAATTGTAGAGAATTAAGGCAATTGGTAATAGGTGATGTGGCTGTATCCTAACCCCTTTTCCTAAATCCAGCATGAGAAGAAAAGCACTTTGTGGAGAAATACTCAAGAGTCTCCAATTTCCGGACACTGAACTGCCTAAAACAAGATTTAAATTACAGCTGAGGGAAACAGAAGCAAGTAACCAGGTAAAAGAAATGTCAGCTGATGATAGACTCAAAGGGAAAATAAACTTCTCACTCTTTCTCATATTTCTGAAAGAAGACAAATGTTGGGTTTGACAAGACTATGCTTCATCTATTTAAAATCATAAAATTAGAGTGTATGTGAAGTTTGCACATAGTCTTCCATGATCAATTGTCTCAATATACAGAGTGATAAGTGACTTCCTAGGATTACTCTTTCATCACTGTTTATTTATCAGTAATTTTTCACACAAAACAAGATTTGAAAATGATTATAAAATTTAACTGAAAATGGACCTGAAAAATCAGCATTAGAAACATATGTATTCACAATTTTAGCAATACTAGTACATAGAAACGCAATCATAAAAAGTTATCTAGAGACAATACAGAGAAATGTAAAATAGACTGAGTTTCCCAGCAGCAAAAACAAGAGAAAATATGAGGAATTCTGTAAAATAAAGTTGTCCTTAAAAATGTAAACAATACAGAAGAAAAGCTTCTACAATTGAGGCCTCTGAGAACTATCTCTCATAGAGAAGAAGAGATATAAAGACCTGTACTTATATAAACATAATACAAGTCACTTCCAATGTCTTTAGTCCTTCAAGGAAGCCTAGCATATCACGCCAATGATTAAATCAATAAGGAATACATTGTACTTAAGACAAAATGTCAGCATGTCTTACCTATTTCTCTGTATCTCTTGAAACAAAACTCTATCATTGCTATAGCTTTGTAAGGATATATTCTAATATACTCATCATTTTGATAATTATTAAAGAAAATAATGATGCTTTTCTTATCAAAACTACAAGATGCTATCTGTTATTTCTTACCTGTGATTCTTTTACATTTTCAACTGTAAAGTTGAACCAAACTCGGAAGCGTGGATTACAGGTATCCGGCCTAATGTACAGATCGTACTCAAACTCAGAGACCTGGTGCACTCGGCCAAGGTTACCTGACAATAAAAATTAAAAGAATTTCACTGTAGTAGAATTTCAAGCAGTTTAATTGTATATATCTTTAAATATTGTGAACTGTGTTTTTTGCATGAGTCATCAGGCAAAATTCATAGGTTCAGCACTCAGCCTGTAACTCTAAGTCAACCCAGAGCAGGAAGTGTTTCAGCTAGTCTAGGTTGTGGTGAGGGAGCTTTGCCTGGCCCTTATAATCTACTTACCTGGTTATTTGATTTTGTTTTCCTCAGATAAAATTTAAATTCTGTGTTAGGAATTGTCAGTGTTTGGAATTTGGGATACATAAGAGGAGAGAATACAATGGTGGTTATCAGAGGTGGAGGATTGGGTGAGAAAATGGGGAGATTTAGGACAAAGAGCACAACATGGCAGATATGTGGTACAAATAGATTTATATATTTAAAATGTAGCATAAGGATTATAGTTAATTGTATTGTGTATATACTAGAAATTTGATAGGAGTAGATTTTAGATCAATGATGGTGAACTTTTTAAAGACGAAGGGTCAAACTATATCCCAAGGTTTTGGTTTAGAAAAGCAACTCACACATTAACATTTTTTGCCTTAAAAGAAAAACAATAGCATGTGTGGCACAGGTATTCCCACTACTGTTTTAGGTACTCTTTCCACACATGCACACATAAAAAGAGATAAACAGATGTTACAATATGCTAATATACTTGAAATTGACCAGCATTTAAGTGAATATTAGAAACATAGCCAAACACCATGCTATGTACCCTAAATATATATGATAAAATATTTCAAGTAAAAGACAAAAACTTTATTTGAGGGGGTGTGCCAGGAATTGAACTCAGGACCTCACACTAGCCAGGCAGGCACTGAGTCACTAAGCTAAATCCGTGGCCCCACAAATTTTACTCTGGGTGTAAACACTAAATTTCTTGTAAACAAAACTTCACCTTTGGGCTGGAGAGATGGCTCAGTGGTCTAAAGCACCTACTTAGAACAAGTTTAGAAAGCATCAGGGACCGCGGTTCAATCCCCCAGCACCACATGCCAGCCAGCCCTGCCCCCTGGTGGGCTGAGCTGGCCTCTCTCTCTCTCTCTCTCTCTCTCTCTCTCTCATAAATAAATAAATAAAATTTAAAAAAAACTTCACCTTTGAGTTATCATAAAGAAAATAAAGGATGCAAATTTTAACAGAAAGGATCAAGGAATAAAAAAATTAATGCAGTTACACTTATATAACATAAGATAGACTTTAAGAAACATTACCACAAAGGAAATTTCATATCTCAAAAAAAGAGCAATTATACCAAGAACCTTTTAAGATAAAAGTCCCAAAATATATATTAATATATCCATAAAGTAGATACTCAAAATACAAAAGATATAACCTAGACTCTTAGTGAGAAAAGTGCCAATAAATAAGAAAATCTCCCCATTATTCAGAAATTACTGAGACAAATTAATGGCCTAATTTTAAAATATATACAATAAACAGCATAAAATTAAAATTTACTTATAAAATACAACATTTGTGGAGCTAAATTCATTTTATTTATTTTTATGAGAATATATTTATTGGGAGAAAGGAAGTTCCTGTCCAATAGAGGGACAGGCAGCATCCTAGAGCAGGGGGTCCCCAGAAAGCTATCTCTTCCAGGGACTTTTACAGAGTAAAACCATGCAGTGAGGTGGATCTAAAGTGGTGGAGAACACTGGAACTCACTTAGGTGGGCATGAGGTGGGACAAAACTATGGTCAACAATGAGGTTACAAACACCATTGCTCAGGTAAAATTGATTAAATCTAGTACCAAATGAGGAAGCAAGTCACGTAACAAGTGGGCATGAATACAGGACTAGGTATCTTCCTGTTGGGGGTTGGGTGAACGATACATTAGGACTCTTCCAAGGTGATTGATACCTATTTAGAATGTCAATCCCTGGTGTCCATAGGGAAGTATGTAGCTGTATGTTTCTTCTTTTGTCTTGAGGTCTGGCCCATATGGAGTGTCTGTCTCTTCCAAGTTGCAAAGTCACCTTGTCTTCCATATTGTCTCCTTGAGAACCTGACCCTGTCTGACTGCATATAATATTTCTATCTAATTCAGCTGTCTACAACATGCCCCCCTTTGAAGAAGTAACTGGAACTGCCATGAGGGAACCATGGGTGATGACCACTCTGACTTCTTCAGGCTGAAATGGGTTGCAGTTGTAAACTGGCAGTCAGAAATACTCTCCAGAGGTTCTATCTAAAGGCCCTCAATAGACATCCTCAATAGACAACAGGAATTTTCATATTGGGTAGGCATGACAGCTTTAAATCTGGAGGAGACAAACCAAAGAAACTATGAAACATGCATGGGCTAAATAATAACATCAGCAGGTTAATTATGAATAGAGTCAAAATTATTTTCACCAAGTAAACAGCAATGATTTGACATCTTATATTCTGAAGAGCTACTGAGACATTAGCAGAAGGATTTGAGATGTAATAACCTTTTAATGTTTGTAATTATAAGAAGACTATTCAGAAATTTTTGTATGTCCATTAGCAGAGATCTCTTTTTTTTCTTTTTTTTATTGAGAAGCAAATAGCAATGAGACAGTTTCAAAACTGATTAATATGGGGCTGGGGAGATGGCTCAGTAGAATAAGTGCTTGCCTGGCAAGCACAATAGCCTGAGTTCAATCCCTGGTTCCGGAAAAAAAAAACTGATTAATAGGACAGTTTCAATAATTAATGCATTGTATATTGTTATCTTCTTAGTAGTTATCCATAGTACAAGATGCAGATAGGATATCCTGTCCAAACACTATTACTACAAATCTTTCTTCTCATTGAATTAAGTGAAAGTAGCTGTATATCTGTCCTAACTATTCTGCTTATACAGATACAAAATAGACCTTCCTTTGTATCCCCTTTTTTTCTTTAGTCTTGTCAGATGTGGGTATTCCATTGGCATCTAAATACTATAGGTGTGTGAATTCAGCAAAACAATCCAACGCAGTCCAGCAGTCCACAATAGTAGTGGGTTATCCACAGAAGTTGTTGACTTGAGCCTTTCACAGCTCAGCATACTAATATGGCTTTACTTTATATACATTGTTTTTATACTTTTCTGCTGGATGGTTAAGACCAAGATAAAGCAAGATATGTATAACAAGACATGTAACTTTTGTATTTGATAAGGTCAGTCAAGTACCCTCAGGATTTATTCTGTAACCCTGTACCACAGTTTGTAGATCCTTTGTCAGTGTCAGCCATGTGGACGAGTCACGGCCATTGCTTGACCAAATTGTTCTCTGTGAAAGCCTGAGAGAATTTTCTCTCTCTAGGTGACTCTTCTTAGGCACACTCTATGTCACTGATCATGTTGCTCTGTGGCCCCATAATCTCCTTGGTCAGAAAATTTTGCACACAACTGAGATACATGATGTTATAGTATAGGTTCTCCTATGTCCTGAGTCTTCATTGACCTTGAAAGGCTAGGGTCAAAACATTGGCTGTCCTTGCAGCCCTTCTATTTCTCTAATTTTTGGCCTGCAAACGTAGGTTGTTAACCTTCCAGAAGAGAAGCTTATTATTACCATACAACATATAGCAGAGATCTCTTAAAAGTGAGATTTAATCCCTTCATATTCTGTAGCCATTGGATATTATCTCAAACTGGCCTTTTATGTCTCACCAAATCTATTATTACTTGGGACACATGAATTTCCAGAAATAGGGAAAACACTGCGTGCTCTCCAGTTTGCAAGTGGGGTCACTGGCTGGGTAACTGCTGACATCTGCATGGGTATCTACTACAAGTTTAACATGCTTTCTCCTTATATAGACAGTTAACATGGGTTCCCTCAGGCTGAAAGTGGAAGACCCAGGACCACCTCAATCTGAAACTTCCTCTGACTCCATCATGAATACTTTCTTTTTTCCCTCTCTAGCAGCTTTGGGCATTTGTGCTTGAAATGTCCCTTCTCTCTGTCTGGATCCAGAGAAGCAAAACTTTTTACCTATTTCCCAACTGGCCTTCATTCCTGTAAGCTGCTAGTATCACTATTCTCATTTTCTGTCCATAATTCCATTCGGTATCCCTTCTACTATGAAACACCTCAACTGAGACCAATTCATTCCTGCAAACCCTTTGAACTTCTGCAGCTTTTGTCAGATACCTGCAGCAAGATAATAACTGTTTGATTTTAAGACCTCCTGCAGGCATCCCTGCGCAAGTAATGTGAGGGCAACTTCCTTTATAGTAGATTTCCTGACATAAGATTAGATTGATAGAGGAAGCATCTTTGAGGGCAATCAGCCCTGTCCAAGGAACACAAAGATAGCTTCCCTTGTAATGAGGCAGGAAACTCTGAGAAGACTCAGTTCACCTGGGCTGTATGCCATGGACAGTTGTGTCTCTGTAGACAAAATCTGGTGGGTCCCAGTAAAAAGAATCTAAAAGCAATCAAGCATATTCGCTAAATGTTTTACTTGTATGATTACCTGGGTTTGGGTGTCTTCTAAGAATGAACAAATTTTCTAAATAATCAAAGCATGAACATTTAAGCTACCAGGTAAATTTATTTATTTTTTCTTTTTGGTGGAACCAGGGATTGAATTCAGGCCCTTGTGCTTGCCAGGGAAGCACTTATTCCACTGAGCCTTCTCCCTGGCCCTAATAGGTAAATTTATAAACTTTTTTGAGGCATACCAATTGTATTTCTCTAGCTCTTAGACCCCTTTATTTATGGAGTCTGACAGTTTGCTATAGGTCCCTCTAGCTTTAGTGGAAAGAGGTCACACCTGTATTTACTAGCAACATGAAATATCTGAGTTACATCAGAAATCAACCAGATGAACTTACACACACCTCATGAAATATATAGCACTCAGATTAAACCAATGTCTCATTCAGTGTTTCAGATATGACCCTGGGTGTCATCAAGAGACATGCGGAAGGCTTTTTCTCTTAACACTGTGGCTCTGAGTTTTATGTCACAAATACAAGACCTGGAT